ATATGTATTTGCTTATATTTTCAAAAGGAAATGCTGGAAGCATAGGCCAGAAACTAATTAAAATGGTTTACTAATACAGAGTGGGGAGGGGGGATGGGGTGGAGGGACAGAATGAAAGCAAGACTTCTCTGAGTAAATCTTTTCAATTAAAAAATAACTTTTGACTTTTGCAATATTTTTTACACATTTACAAAATAAATCAAGGCTTGGCACAGTTGCTCATGCCTGTAACTCCAGAGGCCGAGGAAGGAGGACAGCTTGAGGCTGGGAGTTTGAGACCAACCCCAGCAACATAGCAAGACCTGTCTTTACAAAAAATTAAAAAAAAAATTAGCCAGGGCAGTGGCACATGCCTGTAGTCTGGCTATTCAGGAGACTGAGGTGGAAGGATCACTTGAGCCCAGGAGTTCAAAGCTGCAGTGAGCTATGATCATGCCACTGTCCTCAAGCCTGGGCGACAGAGTGAAACCCTGTCTCTAAAACAAAAACAAAACAAACCAACAAGGAAAAAACTCCATCCCTGTCCTACCTTCTATGCCATCAAAACAAAACAAAATTCAACAACAGTGACAAACCAGAAATTTCTTAGGGAGATTCCTTCTGCAATATTCTTCAGGGCCTGAATCACCAAGTCTTGAAATTAGAGTCCGCAAGAGCTACAACTATTTAAATGTGTCCAATGTAAATATATCTCACCCTAAAGAACTTCAAGAGATTACTCATGAAGTAATGGTACTCTGTGGAACTCAAGGACACCAACTGCTTTGGTTTATAGCTTTATTTACCAAATTCGATACATCTCTGTTGTTTTTTGAATCTTGCCCAAATCAACATGTTTTTTTCTTCCACTATTTCCACCATTACTTCAAAGAATAAAATAAGTCAAATAAGGTCTGTATCTAGATATATCCTCATAAGATTTTGGAATATAAAAAGGAAAAAAGAAGATCCCAAAAGGCTCTTTTAGTGTGAAGCTTGAGTATTTCCTTAGCTCTGGAAATACTCATCTATCTATATCTTTTAACAATTCTCTCCCTTTTATTTTTTTAGAAGACTTGTAAAAATTGAGATAAAATTCATACAGTATACATTTCACCACTTTAACCATTTTAAAGTGTACAATTCAGTGGTTTTTAGTACTCACACAAGACTGTACAACCATAACCACTATCTAATTCCAGAATGTGCTCCTCACCCTCAAAAAAAATCCCATACTAAGTAGTCATTCTCTTTTATTTTTTTTAAGTTCTATCCTGAGGTTCTTAGTAGGGCTTTGGACCTCCAAGATTATTCTTTCACAGTTTTAAACTTTTTCCCTCCTGTTTCTATCACATCTTTTTGTTTTATATTCTGGAAGATTTTCTTGACTATACTTTTTAAGTCCTTCTATTGAAAATAGAATTTTTCTTTTTTTTTTGAGACAGAGCCTCGTTCCCTTGCCTGGGCTAGAGTCAGTGATGTCATCATAGCTCACTGCAACCTCAAATTCCTGGGCTCAAGTGATCCTCCTACCTCAGCCTCTCAAGTAGCTAGGACTACAGGTGTAAGCCACTACGCCCGGCTAATTTTCTTTATTTTTCATAGAGATGGGGTCTATCTTCCTCAGGCTGGTCTTGAACTTCTGGCCTCCTGAAATGAGACACCATGCCCGGCCTGAAAATGGAATTTTTAAAAAGTTTTGGCAGTAATATTTTAATTTCAAAGAGCTTCTTCTTGTATGTTTCTTTTAAAAAAATTTTACCATTTTATCATCCTGAGTATATTAGTAAGATAATTTTAAAACTTTCCTTCTGTTCTTTAAGTTACCTCTCTTTCCTCTAAGCTTAATTTTTTTGTTAGTTTAATTTTGATCATTTTCTCTCATGCTGGTGGTAGTTCTCATACGCTAGAAGGTTCTTGGTTGTTCATTCACATTTAGGGTGGAAGGACAGGAAAACTGCCCTTTGCAAAAAGGAAGTGATGGAAGGATATGCCAGAAATGAATCAAAGTGGTTATTATTAAGCGGTATAGGGCAGGGCAGAGTAGGACAAGTGTATTACTTTAGGGTGAGTAGGTAAGAAACCAGGCTAGAAGACTGCAGAACCCTGAATTCTAGTAGGAATAAGACTTATTCTGGAGCATCAACAGGTACATTAGAATTCTCAGCTTTCTCCAAACATTTCATTCAATTTCTTTCTAGAAGAACTATTTGGTGTTTTACATTGGGGAAAATGCAGGCTACCTCAGTGGAGGTGGGGGTGAGAAGTGAGGTAGGAGCAGAGTGAAATTACTGGGAGCAGCTTCCCACTTACAGTCATTCAATTAATATTCTCCATTTTTAGCCCCAACTCTCATTTCTGCTCATCTCTGTCCCTGAGTCTTCTTTGGAGATCTGTTGGGCTAATCCAGTTACAGTTCAGAGTATATTCTAGGGCCCAAGCTGTAGCTTCTTGGCTTGTTTTCTCCTTTGATGTACTCCTATCTACTTTCCAACTGCCAGAAATTTCTGGAAATTTCTTGTTTACTGGTGGCCCAATCATTTGGTTCTCTTTGTTGTTTTGATACTTCTATGTTTTCATTTTAATGAACTTTCAAAGAGACAAGAATCAAATGCTGATTTTATCTAGTCCACCATCTTGGAACTTAGTACTTTTAAGGAGAGTGAAAAATTTGACTTTATATAGAAACTTCCAGAGACACAATAGCACTAGGCAGCTTTATTTTCTCTTGTCTTTACATAGTGCTTGTTATTTATGAAGAAACAAAGTGACTATGTAGAACAAAATTAAGTACTTTTAATATTTGATAGATTTAAGAGAATTTTCATGATTATGGGTTCTTAACTTACATGTGTAACACCTTCTATCTTCTGTTATTGCATGTTTCTGGGGGAGAGTTCAACTGTTTTCATCAGAGTTCAAAAAGGCTAATAAGCCAAAAGAGGTTAAGAACCATAGAACTAAATGAATGTATTCTCTCAGTGTTATAAGTTAAAAATCCCCATTCCATGATGATTTAAGTTTTGGATTTTGAAACTGCAGGTGTTTAAATCACAAAAAAATTAAGGTTTGAAAATAATTTTGAAGTTGTTTACAAATCCGAGGGCAACCAGTAAACAAATGACTATATAATATGTTGAAAAGCAGTAGAGTTTCTGTTAGGAACACATTCAAATGCCTTATGAAGTAGTTTAACAACAGAAAAACCTCACCTAGGGTTTTAGCTCTCTTGTACAGTAGCTTAGAGTGCTGAGGGATGGCGATGCCAGACAATTTCCTAACCTGATGACCTGGATAGCTACTTGGAATAGCACCATTTAAATACAAGGTCAAGTTTTGCATTAGAAGATCCAGAGACTAAATAAGAAGACCTAGACGCTGAGTTAAGATTAGGCTAAAAAGTAACAAAGAAAAGAAGCAACTGGTTGAGGTTGATAATATTAGCCAAAAGTCTCATGTTCCTATAAAATAAAACTACCAGATGTTAACTCTGGTTCTTTGAGACTAGTTTTTCTGAAGCTATTTAGATGTCAACTTTTGGAGTCTAAGCAAATGACATGTGGTCATATGGCACTTCACATAATAGTTCAGGCAATTTTTTTTTTTTTTTGGGGGGACAGAGTTTTGCTCTGTCACCCCGGCTAGAGTGCAGTGGTGTCATCATAGCTCACTGCAACCTCAGACTTCTGGAGCTCAAGAGATCCTCCTGCCTCAGTCTCCCGAGTAGCTAGGACTATAGGAGTGTGCCACCATGCCCAGCTAATTTTTTTCTGTTTTTGTAGAGGTGGGGTCTTGCTCTTGCTCAGGCTGGTCTCCAACTCCTGGTCTCAAGTGATCCTCCTGCCTCAGCCTCCCAGAGCTCTAGGATTACAGGCCTGAGACACCATGCCTGGCCAGTTCAGGTAATTATTTTTTACATATTTTTGAAATAGGTAAGAAATTAAAAAATAACACAGTAAGAAGCAGAACTGTGTAGATAACAATGTATGATTTTAACTCTTTTAAATTAAACATTAGTATTTGTTCAAAATAGGCAAATAAAAATGTATGCATTTGCAGAATTATGTTGACACAATGGTTTTAATGAAGGTCAAACACACAGTATATGCTTAAAATCAAATTATAGTAATCCTTAAAATCTAGGCTATGGTAGCTTTGGTCGAAATACCTCAAGTCAAAGGGAGAAGGTAATGCTCATCAACAAGTTAAACCCATGTGGTTTTGCTTAGTTCAATAAAATGAAAGTAAACTTTTTCTGACAACATCTTCAGGACATAGGGAGAAACGTGAAGATTAATGATCATCATATAATTTTATGTGTAAACTGTTTAGCTGACTAGGCAGAATGTACCCTGGAATAGATGTTTCTGAATAAATCTCATTTTCTTTTTTAAAAAAATTTTATAGTAGAGACGGGGTCTATGTTGCCCATATTAGTCTTTAACTCCTGGCCTCAAGTGATCCTCCCACCTTGGCCTTTCAAAGTGCTGGGATTACAGGATTGAGCCACTATGACTGAACTTATTTATCTATTTTCATTTGCTTTGTTCAAACAAGATATCACTGGAAAGATTTCAGTTAATCAGGGTTATAGGTCATTGTGGTTTTACTATATTGTGGTTATAAAACATTATAAACCAGGGCCGGGCGCAGTGGCTCACGCCTGTAATCCTAGCACACTGGGAGGCCGAGGCGGGCGGATTGTTTTGAGCTCAGGAGTTCGAAACCAGCCTGAGCAAGAGTGAGACCCTGTCTCTACTAAAAAAAATAGAAAGAAATTATCTGGACAACTAAAAATATTTAGAAAAAAAATTAGCCGGGCATGGTGGCGCATGCCTGTAGTCCCAGCTGCTCAGAAGGCTGAGGCAGAAGGATCGCTTGAGCCCAGGAGTTTGAGGTTGCTGTGAGCTAGGCTGACGCCATGGTACTCACTCTAGCCTGGGCAAAATAGTGAGACTCTGTCTCAAAAAAAAAAAAAAAAAACAAAACATTATAAACCAAAAGAAACCCCAATTACCTACCTAATCGATGAAATCCAAAGGTGAATCTTTTGGTTGGTGATTTTGATGACAGCCACAAAGCAAGCAGGGTAAGTATGATGGCGCTTAGGTCAGTTAACATATGAAGTGCATCTGTCATGATTGCTAGGCTATTTGCAATGTATCCACCTTAGAGTAAGTAAGAGTGGGAGGGAAGAAAGAATAGTTAATTCAAAAAAAAAAAGTAAGCAATCAAACCAGAAATATGTAACACCCTACAAAATATAAACTTCTAACTAAATCTTTATCGTACTACAATTAAGTCAAAGTGTTCTGAAATTGTATGCAAAATATTATATATACGTGTATTTTTCTGGTGAGAATGTCAATTTCTGTTAACAGATTTTCCAAGCAGTCAATGGCCTTAAAATGTTAAAAACCCCTAGGCAAACATATAAAGAGAAATTTTGTGTTTTAGCACTGCAGCTTTTGCTAAACATACTAATTCTACTCTCAGACAGTGAATTATTAATAATAACTGTAATATCTAAATATTACAACAAAGCTGAAGAAAAGGTAGGTGTTCATTTGCCGGGGAGGGTTTGAACACAATTTTTTGTTGTTGTTGCCCAGGCTGGAATGCAGTGGCACAATCATAGCTCACTGTAACTTCTAACTCCTGGGCTCAGGCAATCCTCCTGCTTCTGCCTCTTAAGTAGCTGACACTACAGGTGTGTGCTACCACACCTGGCTGATTGTTTTATTTTTTGTAGAGATGGGGTCTTGCTATGTTGCCCAGGCTGGTCTCAAACTCCTGGCCTCAAGTGATCCTCCCACTTTGGCTTCCCAAAGTGCTGGGATTACCAGTGCAGGCCACCATGCCCAGCCTGAACATAAAATTAAACAAAATGTATATTAATTCAACATAAAATATAAAAATTAACTGATACACTTGGATATGGATAGCAGTATCTCTGAATAGAGGGACAAAGGGTGATATTTAGGATACAATTTTTTTGGTATTGATTTTCCAGGCATTATATATATAATACATTGTGTGTGTCTATATTATCCCATTATGGACAACCAACCTTCCTAGCACCATTCATTGAATAAGCTAACTCAAACTTTTATGTGTATCAGTCACCTGGAGGGGTTGTTAAAATACAAACTGCTTGACTATCTACTCCAAGAATTTCTGATTCAGTAGGTCTGGGATGGGGCCTGAGAATTTACATTTCTAACATGTTCCCAGGTGATGGTGATGCTTCAGGCCTTGGAACCAGGCTGAGAATCACTGGTATAATGTATAGTAAAACTTCATGATCAGATGAGTGTGCTGAGCTGTTGGTCCCCCTCAATCCTGGGCTGGGTGTGCAGAGCCAAGAGTAGTAGCAGGAGACCTGGGGCTGATGATCTTGTAGTCACATAATTAACCTCAAAGTGCTCTATCTATATAAATATCATTTTCTATGTATTCCCTGAGATTAAAAAGCTGGAAAGCACTGAGAGGAAATATAGGTTAGCGGTTAACAACATGGAGCTTTGGAATCTCAGAGACACTGAGTTACTCAACCTTTCTGAGCCTTACTCATCTATAAAATGAGGATAATTCCTTAAAGCCACACTGTCAAGAACTTTCTGAGATAGAAATGTTCTATGTCTGTGCTGTCCAATGGAGCAGCCACTAATCACATGTGGCTTTTGAGCATTTTAAAAATGGTTAGTGAAACTGAGGAATTAATTAATTTTAATAAACCTAAATTTTAAAAGCCACATGTTGGTAATATCAGCAAAAACAGAGTATGGACCTCTGAAAATCATCTCCTTCTTAAAGGCAATGAGAACATGGGCAAAAATTGTCAAAATCAGCTTTTTCAGAACTTTGGAAATGAACTTAAGTCTTATACATATAGCATTCATTTAAGAAAAATGGCTGATTTTCAGTAAAAACAGTTAGCTTTGTGGTATTTTAACTTGCCCTAGGCCCATTTGCCATTCCCCAGTTTTACGGTAGCTGGAAAACCAACAGGCCACAAAACCTCACTTTGGCAGTCACTGGAGGAGGCAAAATGGGTTTGGAGCTCCTTCAAAGCCCCATTCCCAGAGAACTCTCATTATTTGACCTGTCGGGAGATTCCCTGAAATACCTGCAAGGCTGTTTTTATTTGACCTGACACTTGGAACTTGCCCTGTGTCAACAGCTCCCACTTTCCTTCCCATGCTTGTCAAAAACTATCAGAGGCAACTATTTAACACTGCAGTTACCTGAGGTACTAGATAACAATGTGTTCCCTTTGCTCTGAAATTTCACAATGATGTACCGTGTTGTGGATCTCTTTTCACCCAATTTGCTCGCTTTTGTTGACTCTTTCAATCTGGCAATGTATAACCTTCAGTTACGGAGAAATTTCTTAAACTGTTACTATTGATGATTTCTTCCCTTTTGCTTTCTCTTATTCCTTGACTCCTATTATTTGGAGTTTATCCTGATAATTCTAATTTTTTTTTTTGCCTTTTCTCTCCAATTATCCATTTGTTTTTTTGCTCTACTTTGTGAGAGAGTACCTTAATTCATCTTCTAACTTTTCTATGGAGTTAAAAAATTTTCTATTAATACGTTTTTATTGTTCAAAAGTTCTTTTCTTTGCCCTGAATTTTTTTTAAAGCAGCCTATTCTTGCTTTATGGATACTTGATATACAATTATATCTGACTAGTTCTTAAACAGGTTTTAACTAGCTTTCCTTATTTTAGCCTTCTTTGTCATCCACACTTCCAGAGGTACCTGGTACCAATTCTGGGCCTACTTAGGACTCTCGAGTGCAGCAGTTCTCTATTGTGGTCCTTGGATCAGCAGTACCAGCAGCCCCCGGGATCCTGTGTTTTAACAAGTTCTCTAGGTGATTGTGATGCGCAGCAAAGCTTGAAAACCACTGCTCTAGTGTAAACTGAGTTGGTTCTCAGCTTACTCACTGCTGGCTTAGGAGCTGGCTTTTTTGGGTCTATTAAGTCTGTTACCTCTTTATCTTTTTCCTTTCCAGTTTCCAAAATTTTTGTTGCTATTTTCTCCTATCTGTGTGGATTTATGTCTTTTTTTTTTTTTTAAATCCCTTCATTATAGTTTAAGACAGGCTTCAGAGGAAGCAAAATTAGATGCTAAACTTCAATTTGCCATCTTTATTTTACCTGAAAGTCTGTATTCACTCTTCAAGCATTTTCATTCCCAATAAGAATGCAATTGTTAAACTAATTGATAACTCTGTGTTACCAAATTCTGAGGATATTTACTTCTCATCTAATTATACTTGGCAGTTTCAACCTATTTATTTCCACTTGGAAATACTTTCTTTTCTTGGGTTTTAGAACACCTGTATGTTTTTCTAACCGTAGTTCCTTAGGACTTAGGCTTTCTAGGAAATTTTACCCATTCCTATGGCATTGCATATCATATTTCTCTACCTTGACCTGTCTTTTGAATTATAGACTCATATTTAACAGCCTGCCCCAGATATCTTCACTTGGATATTTCACATATATACAAAAAGGAGCATGTCTAAAACAAGCCCATGTCCAAATCCTGTTCTGCATTCTCCCACTGCTTCATAGACCCAGTTCTATGCACTCAGTTGCTTAGGTGAAAAACTTCAGAACCATTCTTGACACTGCTTTTTCCTCAACCTTCACATCCAAACCATTAGCCAATTTTGTCAATGGACCTTCAGTTTATTAATATGTGCATTTTCTCCATCCATTCTATTCCAAGCCATAATTGTTTCTTGTCTGGACTCCTGCATCAGTTTACTTGCATCCAAAAATGTACCCTCTAATCCAATCTCCACATAACAGCCAGAATAATCTTTCAAAAAGGTATACCCCATCATGTCACCCTCTTGCTTAAAACCCCTAACTTGCTTCCCATTGCACTCAGAATAAAAGCTATACTCATTTAATGTGGCCTATCAGGACCTGCCTGATCAGGTCCTCCTGCCTCTTTCCCTCATATTTACTACATTCCAGCCAAACTGGCCTTTTTTCCTATTCCTTTTAAAGAACTGAAAGCTTTAGGACCTTTGTACATGCTGTTCTCTTTACTTGGAACACTCCCTCACTCCCTTTGCTTGGATAACTTCTACTATTCTTTTTTTGGTTTTAATGTACCTGGTTCATGCATAAACTATGTCTCACTGGTTACCATATGTTATAGTACCTTGTTCTTTTACTCCATAACACTTAAGACGATGTGAATTTTAAGTTTACTTGTGTTTAACGTCTATTTTCTTAAATGCTCCAGGTAATAGGGATTATAATACAGGGTGTCCCAAAAGTTGCCATACAGAGGGAAAATGGGAAATTGTAGCTAAATGTACCTTTATTTACAAAATATTCATTAAAAAATTTTTCCTTTTCACTTGTGGCGTGGCAATAGAGTATAAAGTCAATGATTTTCTACATGGTTGCCTGAAGGAGGAAACTCAACCAAAAGGGATCCTTGCTGGCTTGCGGTGGGGGAGGGAGAAAGAAAATCAGCTAGCTGTCTCCAGACTGGGCCTTCTTGCCAGTCAGGAAACCCATATTAAGACTTAAAGACCAGCTCTTACTCTCTCCAAGGCTTAAATAATATTGCTAATGCCTATCTTAAATACTACTATTATATCTGTATTATTTAACATAATATTTTCATGTTTGAAAATAAAGTCAGTATTTTAAAGGAAATACTTATATTGTGGCTTTCACAAAACAATATTTGCCAAATAAGAGATTGGCAAAATGGGAAGTTCCATTCCCAGAAATGGGAAGTCAGGACAATTATATTGTAATGAATTTTTATTTAGGTAAAATAAACTCTAGATGAATTTTAAGGTGGAAAATTGTGATTAATGTTACTTTAACTTCAGATATTAAATATTAACTTCAAAAATCACCAAGCCTGAATACTCAATATTCTAGTTGTGTTAATTTGGGCAAGTCACTGAATCTTAGTCTGCTAAAACCATGGTGCCTTATCTGGCCACAACTTCACTCCTGTCTTTTAATTTCTTTACAGCTTATGCATTTATAATTCTCTAACAGAATAGAATTTAATTAACTCAAAAAAATGTACTGAGTCTCTACTTTGTGCCAGTCACTGTTCTAGGTGCTGGGAATTCAGCCTATTTCAGTGGAAAAAAGACAGATATTAAATAAGTAAATAAATAAGATAATCTCAGATGCCGAGGACTTGGAAGGTTGGGGAAAGAACGGAGGACAAAAGAGATTTAGTCAGTCAGAAAAGGTCTCTCAAAGGTATCTTTTGAGATGAGACGTGAATGACAAGAAACCAGCCAGGAGAAGATCTGGGAAAAGGCAGTCTACATGGGCTATTTTTTAAAAAAAAAGAACAGTGTTTTTCAAACTGCAAGCCCTGACCTACTGTTAGGGACCCATGAAATCAATTTAGTGGTTTGGGACCACAGGTGAAAAAATATTAGAATACATCACATGAAATAAGACTTTTGTTTCAGTTACGCATATATTTATACACGTTCACGTGTGTGTACGTACATACATATGTATGCATGCATGCCTACTTGAGTCACAATGTTAAGTGTATTTCTTACTATAGTGAGGTCAAAAAAGTTTGAAAGCCACTGAGGTAGAGGGACCAGCCAGTTTGAAGGCCTTAAGGCCAAAAAGACCTTTATGAGTTGTAGGAAGAAAAAGAAGGCAAGCATGGCTGAAGTGAGCACTGGGGAGCAATGGTATGAAATGGGTAGGAAACATAATTTTCCTACATAAAACGTCCAGCGAAGCATCTTAATTCTGAATTGCCACCTCTGTTTTCATTATGGTTCATCATTAAGAAACAACATGAAAGAAGCATCTCCCTGCTTTAATGTCGCTTTGTAAACTGTCACTAAGAGACAGTTACATGTGACTGTGAAAATAATCTCTAAACGAAGAATGGAATGTATCTTACAGTCAGAATGTATTATTTGTATAATTAAAACATGAAAAAGAAAACCAAGTTCATGGAACGCTGGGGAAATCCATTGGTTCATTTCAGTCCCTCCTTATACTGAAAAAATTTCATGTTAGTTGGTAGTATTTAGTTTTGCAAATCTCCTGACGATAAATACAAAAGGAAACGATATAAACAGATCACTTAAATCAAATGCAGAGAAAAAAATCCAGTGACTGGGACTGGATGTGGCTCTTCCATTAAGTTCCTAAGTGGCCTCACAACTTATTTAACCTCTCTGGGCCCTCAGAATCCTTATATGTAAAAAAGAAGGTGGAGCAGGTGTTCAGTAAGATCCCTTCGCACCGTAAAATTCTGTGATTCAAAGTAATTTTAGAATCATTTACTATTTTAAACGTTGCAAAAATTAACCTGGTATTTTATCAGAATTTTTTAAAAAGAGGAAGTTACAGAATATACAATGAAGATAATGCCTAACTTTAACGTGATAGTGTCTAAAGAACTAGAAGGCAAAGTCAAAGTTATCTCGGGAAGTTTATGCTGTACTTAGGTTGCTCCGTACTTTGGAACCCTGTGGCATTTTCATATCATGAGATCAGTATCTTCATAAATACAAACTTCCTAAAAAGAAAGTTTAACCCCAAATCAGGTGTAACTACAGCTTGACAAAGACCCTCGATGAAAGGTAAACAGAAAGTGAGTTGGCAACACAACTCACCTACAAGCTCTCCAATCATGAAAATCAAGTAAAGAACGGCAGCAATGGTCAACCTGGTTTTCACCTTTCTCTGCTTCAGCAACTCTCTCTGTTTGCTGCAGTTGTCACAGGAATCCACCTTCAAACTCAGCTGACTGTTGGTCAAAGGTAAGTCCTGGTCCAGTAAGGAATCATCATCGGCCTGCAGGGCCGGGTGCGCCCCGTTAATAGGCCTTTCCAGGGTTTCAGAACCATCATCGGCCACCACAACTCGAAGTTTGTTGAACCGAGAAAGCCCCTCATCCCCCACCTCATCCGAGAAGTCAAAGGCGCTGGTGTCATTTAAGAACAGTGGCGCATCATCCTTCCGCAGCAGAGATTTGAGGCGCTTCCACGCGCCGGACCCGGCCATGGCAGCGGCTGCGCGGCCGCGGCGCGGAACGGCTCGTGCAGGCGGACGGTCGGCGGCTCCTACTTCACGGGAGCGCCAGTGCCCGAGGGCAGTGCCGCGCGTCCCTCCCCATCCTGTGGAAAACGAAACACGTTATAAATTAAAGGCGCCCCAACACTGCCCACAAGTTCCGAAACCCCGGCGGCGGAACGCAGGGCCAGCCCCGAGGCTCCGCTCCGCGAGGGGGCGGCGCATCTACCTGGGGCGCTGCTGCGGGGCCGCCGCTCATCTCCCAGCCCCCGGCCGGCTCGGCTAGGCCAGCTCCTAGAGGCCGCGCGGCCGTGCTCGCGCCTGCTGCGCCCGCCGCTGGAGGCCCGCTCCCCGGTCTGACAGGTTGGGGTCGGGCGCCTGCGGCCACCGCCTCTCCTCGCCCTGCGCGAGGCCGCGCGCGTGCGCCGGGCGAGGCGCGCGAGGGAGGGGTCGGCGCGAGGACACGCAAGCCCGCCGCGCAGGGCCCGGGCGCCCGCGGGGGCGGGGGGCGGGGGCGCCCGGCGTGTCCCCGCCCCCAGCCTAGCTCGGGGGCCGCGCCCGACGCCTCCGCGGGGGTGGTGGCCGTCACAGGCGAAACGCGGGGCCCGGCGTCCTTCCACCTCCCCACGCCGGGAGGTATGTGCGCACTAAGCCAGGATGCAGGTCCGCGGGCGCAAGCGGTGCATTCAGGGGTCACGCCCGGGGTTGGGCGTTGCTGCCGGGAGTTCCCTCCACAGAAGGTGGGTCTCCGAAATTTCGGGTGGTGATCTTGGTTGCGGATGCTCAGCAGAAAACAAACCTAACACTTTCTTGGCAGGTGGGATGCCAAACAGCTTTTCTCTCCTGGAGTTGCTGCTTCTCTGGCAGGTTGGCAAAATTTGCTGCACAGTCAGGTCAACTGGAGAGGGCAAGACTATGGTCGTCAGCAGTTCTGTGTCCTACTGGTTTTCAGCAAATATGTATTGTCATCTGTGTGCTCACTGCCACATGCCTTTGGCCTCCAAAGTATTTACGATATGGACTAAACCCAAGCACAAAAAGTCCAGTACAGGCATACTGCAGAGATAAACTTGAGTGCGAGTTTGGTTCCAGACCAGACCAGAATATTATGATAAAGTTAGGTCACATGATTTTTTTCTTTCCCAGTGCATATAAAAGTTATGTTTACATTATACTATAGTCTATTAAGTGTGCAATATAATTATGTCTCTAAAAAGTGTATATCTTAATTTTAAAATATTGCTAAAAAAATGCTAACAAGCATCTGAGCCTTCAGCAAGTCGTAATCTTTTTGTTAGTGGAGGGTGTTGCCTTGATGTTGATGATGTTGATGGCTGCTGACTGATCTACTGGTTGGTGAAGGTTTGGATGGCTGTGGCAATTTTAAAAAGATAACAGTGAAGTTTGCTGCATCCATTAACTCTTCTTTTTGTGAAAGATTTCTCTGTAGCACTCAATGCTGTTTGATAGTATTTTACCCACAGTAGAACTTCTTTCAAAATTGGAGTCAATCCTCTCAAACCCTACTGCTAAGTTTATGTAATATTCGAAATCGTGTGTTGTCATGTCAATGATGTGCACAGCATTTTTACCAGGAGTAGATGCCTTATCAAGAAACCACTTTCTTTGCTTATCCATAAGAAGCAACTCCTTATCTGTTTAAGTTTTTTTTCTTTTTGAAGATACGGGGTCTTGCTGTATTGCCCAGGTTGGAATGCAGTGGTGTGATCATAGTTCACTGGAGCCTGGAACTCCTGGGCTCAAGCAATACTCCTACCTCAGCCTCCCAGTAGCTGGGACTAGAGGCCTACACCACTACGTACTGCTAATTTTTATGATTTTTGTAGAGACAGGGGTCTTGCTATGTTGCCCAGGATGGTCTCTAGCTCCTGGGCTCAAGTGATCCTCCTGCCTTGGCCTCCCAAAGTGCTGGGATTAGTGGCATGAGCCACCATCCACCACTACCCACCCCCATCCAAATTTTATCATGAGATTGCAGTAATTCATGCACATTGTCAGGCTCCACTTCTGGTTCTCTTGCTATTTCTACTCCATCTGCAGTTACTTCCTCCACTGAAGTCTTGAACCCCTCAAAGTTAACCATGAGGGTTGGAATCTACTTCTTCCAAACTCCTGTTAATGTTGATATTTTGATCTCCTCCCATGAATCATGAATTTTTTAAAAAAAATTTTTAGAGCCCGTGACAATATGAACAAATATTCTCAATAGTATCTAGAATGATGAATCCTTTCCAGAAGGTTTTCAATTGACTTTGCCCAGATCCACTAGAGGAATCACTTATCTATGGCAGCCATACCTTTATGAAAAGTATTTCTTAGATATTAAGACTGGAAAGTTGAAATTACTCCTTGATCCATGGGCTGCAGAATGGATGTGGTGTTAGCAAGCATGAAAACAACATTGAACTTCTTGTACATCTCCATCAGACCTCTTGGGTGACCAGGTGCATTGTCAATGAGTAGTAATGTTTTGAAAGGAATCTTTTTTTTCTGAGCTGTAGATCTCAGCAGAGGGCTTCAAATATTCAGTAAACCATGCTATAAACAGATGTGCTGCCATCCAGGCTTTGTTGGTCCATTTATAGAGCACAGGCAGAGTAGATTTAGTATAATTCTTAAGGGCCCTAGGATTTTCAGAGTGATAAATGAGCATTGGCTTCAACTTAAAGCTACTAGGTGCATTAGCCTATAACAAGAGCATCAGCCTGCCCTTGGAAGCTTTGAAGCCACGCATTGACTTCTCCTCTCTATGGCATACACTTCCAATATAAATGTGTTTCATCTATGTTGAAAATCTTTTGTTTAGTGTAGCCACCTTCATCAATGATCTTAGCTACATTTTCTGGATAACTTGCTGCAGTTTCTCCATCAGCACTTGCTGCTTCACCTTGTACTTTTATGTTACAGAGACAGCTTCTTTCCTTAAACTTCATGAACTAACTTCTGCTAGCTTCCAACTTTCCTTGTGTAGCTTCCTCACCTCTCTCAGCCTTCATAGAATTGAAGAGAGTTAGGACATTTTAGATTAGGCTTTGGCTTAAGGGAATATTGTGGCTGGTTCAATCTTTTATCCAGAGCACTCAAACTTTCTCCATATCAACAATAAGGCTGTGTTGCTTTTATATCATTTGTGTGTTCGTTGGAGTAGCACTTTCAGTTTCCTTCAGGAATTTTCCTTTGAATTCACAACTTGGCTCTTTGGCATAAGAGGACTAGCTTTCAGTCTATATGAGCTTTACACATGGCTTCCTAAGCTTAATTATTTCTAGCTTTTGATTTACAGTGAGAAATGTTTGACTCTTCCTTTCACTTACACACTTAGAGGCCATTATAGGGTAATTAATTGGCCTAAATTGGCCTAATTTTAATATCGCTGGGGACATGGCAGTAAGAGCAGGTGGAACAGTCAGAATACACACAACATTTATCAATTAAGTTTGCTGTCTTATATGGGCATGGTTTTTGGTGCCCTGAAACAATTACAATAGTAATAGCAATGATCACTAATCGGAGATCACCATAACATAAAATAATATGAAAAAGTTTGAAATATTGAGAGAATTACCAAAATGTGACAGAGACACAAAGAGAGCACATGCTGTTGGTAAAATGGCTTCCGAAAGACTTGCTTGATGCAGGGTTGCCATAAACCTTCAATTTGTAAAAAAATGCAGTATCTGAGAAGTGCAATAAAGCAAACTGCAATAAAATAAGGTTTGACTGTAGAGGTACCTGTTTGGCCTTTGGTTCTGTTTAACAAACAAAACCCCCAAAAACATTAAAAAGAATTAAGTTCTGAGCAGTAGCTTCTGATTTAAACCTAAATTTTTTTTTTTTTTTTTTTGACAGAGTCTCACTCTGTTGCCGGGGCTAGAGTGCCATGGTGTCAGCCTAGCTCACAGAAACCTCAAACTCCTAGGCTCAAGCAATCCTTCTGCCACAGCCTCCCGAGTAGCTGGGACTACAGGCATGTGCCACCATGCCCGGCTAATTTTTCTATATATATATAGTTGTCCAGCTAATTTCTTTCTACTTTTAGTAGAGACGGGAACTCGCTCTTGCTCAGGCTGGTCTCGAACTCCTGAGCTCAAGCAATCCGCCTGCCTCTGCCTCCCAGAGTGCTAGGATTACGGGTGTGAGCCACCACGCCGGCCTAAACCTAAATTTTAATGGCAAAATGGAACAGCAATAAGTCTCGCCCCTGCCAGTCTTAGAGATTCTTAAATGCAGATTTCCTGAATAGGTGTATTAAGTGCAAAATTTTGTGGGTATGTGTATTTTCTGGGATAGACCTTTTAGCTTTCATCATGTTCTCAAATTGAGTTAATAGTCAAATAAGGTTGAAAACGATAGAAACAACAACATTGTCAGGAGAGTTTACCTTATAGGGCAAGCCCCTAGCTTCTAATGGGAGTTGAATTGTAATGCAAACTCCTATTTATCCAGCGTTTATAAATATTGTATTTTTATAACAGTCTACATGTATTACCAGATTTATAGTTAAAAAAATACAATAAAAAGTCACATAAAACAACATTTTCCTCTGAAAATTCAGGTGGCACTTTAGAATCTTATATATATCAAATGCAAGAAATCAACTGCTTCTGGACACCAGGACAGTCCCTCATATTTATATGTCCACCATATTCCTACAGAGCTGCAGCCATGGGAATCAAGTTAAAAAACCTGGATCACAGATTCCATGGTTCCTAGACCAGGAAGGGAGAACTATTGCCCAGAATGTTCAATAACCAGAGCACTGTGGTATAATCAGCTGAAGGGAGAGAGCTTATTCAGGGTTGCTTTCCTAACCCCCCAAATCTTAATCCATCTTTTTTTGTTTTTAATTTCACTTTGCTATACTGTCTGAAATTCTACTAATGAGAGATACAAGCGAATAAAGCAAATATTTAAGGAACGTGATCATTCTCTCTTTAGTATAAATCCTTCAAAATAATATTCCATTTAAGGAAAAGAGATAGATGTTTTTAAGAAAAGTTAAGGCAAGAGCATTGATTGTTTTGGGTACTTACAGCCAGCATTGTTAGGGAGGGCTGCAGTCCTGTATCCAAGTTTGTTTTTATTATTTTGTCTCACTGGATACCTGGAGAAAGTGATGGGGGGACAACAAAAACTCTATATGGTGATTTTAAGATATATCCACAAATTTTGTGATACCCTACCCATCAAGAGATAGAGCTTAATTCCCTTCCTGTTGAGTGTGGGCTGTGCTTAATAAATAGCACATGGCCTATAATGAATAGAACATGGCAAAAGTAACTGTGACTTACAAGACTGGGTCATAAAAGGCATTGCGGCTGCCTCATTCTTACGCTTGCACTGGGGGGAGCTGGCTACTGTGTCATGAGGAGCTCAAGCAGC